TTGACCACACGAAGCACTGTTTAGAACAAGTATGAATTTCTCTTCTCTAATAGAAACTTATCTTCCAGGCTTGTTCAAAGAAAAGAGCCATCCTTAGTCAGAGAAATGAGGATGCAGTATTCTCCATTTGTACCTCGTGTCAGCAATTTCCTTAAACAGGGAAGTAAAGGAAAAGAAAGAACCTGAAAGAGAACAGTAGGAAACCGGCCTTACTAAGGGAGATATGGATAAAACTTGGGTTAGTTTAAGGGAGGAGGGGGAAGGGTATACAAGGAACCTAGGGGATAAAGGGAAAGAAGGAGCTCAAGAGAGGTAGGACCATAAGAGAAGGGTATTAGTAAGGGAGAAAGAGGGGAAATGGGGGCACCTTAAGTGGGAAAACAATGATGGAGGTGTGAGACAATGTGAGAGATAAACAATGCCTAGCTAGTTTTGAAAACCAGAGGGAATCATATTACTCCTATACCCTACTGACAAATTATACATAGCAGATCAACAACTATAAGTCTAGGTAAGGTTTATCTGAGAACAACTGATCTTTGCCCAAGACTTATCTACATGACACACAGTAATTAAAAATACCAGACTGGTGGAATTATCCTTCTTGGGTGTTTAACAGACATACTTTGAGGCCCATAGTAATTTGGTCAGAGGGACATAAAGGACACTTTTTGCTCCTTGCCCTCCTAGGTCACCTGGTTCCAGGGGACTATGAGCATCTCTCAAAATGTCCTATAATGGTGGTGGGTCACCTGTCCTCTTGATCAAGGAGGCCGAGGAGACCCCACCAGATGGACCTGAACCAGTGTCCAGTCTATAAAGAGGAGGGTCAACACAGAGGAATCATTTCCTCCATGCTTCCAAGAGAAGCCAACCATGGTCGAGCAGGACCTTTGACTTACCTTCATATAGGCGGAACTGGTAAAAGAAAGGAGCCAGGGGTACCTCCCAAGCCCATGTGACCCCTAAGGAACAGACCCTCAAATGACCTTAAGAGTAAAAATAAATTGGTTTATCTGGTCCAACTGTATGGCCTTAAACACCCAAAAGGAAAGTATAATCAAAGATTAAAGGGGCTAGTATAATTTCTTAAGGTCCATATGCATAGCTAAAGGCTACATAACAAGCAACAATGCCAGACAGGCGATACCTTCTTTTGAGTTGTTGGCCAGGGTGGCCAAAGGGATTCCCAGATAGTAACCCAGCATAGAACTGGGAAAATGAACAGCAGACCCCAATCCTATCCAAAGGAATATAGGCAAGTGAATACCACTAGATGAGAAACAGCTGACCCTCCTAAAACAAAGCTCTAGATAGGCTGATTAGATTCACCAGAAGGGCAAGTAGTGGGGAATGGCTGGGGGTGCTGACAACACAGCAAACAGTAGCAGGGATATCAGAGTGTAAGGGCTCTAGTGGGGGAAGGGAGGCTATGGGGGGTGCTACCTGGGAAGTGGGTGTTTAAATAAATAAAAAAAGGAAAAAAATAATTCTTCAAAGCATAAAAATTTTCTCCTTAATAATTAGTAGATGTGAAAAACATTACCCTTGAAATCTACCTGATGACTTTATATCCATGCTTAGATGCCAAGGAGCTCAGAAAGTAACCAACCGTGACTAGTAATAATCAGATATATGGAGATTAGAAACACACGTGCATCTTAGTGTCAATTATATTCAAAATGAATTTTTCGATTTAATTTTATGTCTTATAGGGTTTATACTGAGTACAATATTTTATAACTGTATTAATTCAACTGTAAACCCAGAAATTTACAGCCAATTTTGAAGGAGATGCATTTTAGCTCTGGAAATTGTTATTGAATATGTCAATGCTGTTGTAATGAAATGCTTCTTCTGATTGTGTGGTCATTAAATAAATAATTAAAATAAACAGCAAGTAATGCAATTATATTACAAATTGTATGAGTAACAATAAACTTCAACACCAGATTAATGATATTACACTGGTGTGAAGTACTGTTTGTAAATTCATTTAGCTAAGAGAAAAAAGAACATTCATTAAAGTCCAATATTAGGAAATAGAGATCCTCTGGGTCAAATGTTAATAAAATAACAAAAGACTTGTAGAATAGCTTCCTACATTTTATCATTAGAGTTAATAATCCTGGCCATGAGGCTTCTTTCTTTGCATTTTTACTCTTCAGAGAAAAAGAGAGCAGGAACTTGATAAAAAATGGACTTGAACTCAGTAGATTCCCAGTCTGTGTTTAGCAGACAGTGCCAACCCACAGCTCCTCTCTGACAATCAGCTGTTTAGGAGCTACAGGAGCGTTTCAGAACACAAAATGTAGGGTTTTTATAGCAGATGTATGTCCAGTAGGTCATAGCGATAGTGTCAGAGGATCAAGAACTTCAGTAAAGTTCCTCTGATTATAGTGAATATACTGACTAGGTAAAGACAATACAATCATCAGTTCTAAGGGGGAATTTCTGTCTATCACAGAAATGACAAAGGAACACACAGAGGCAGAAAAGAATAGCCCTATTCCTTGTGGGTGGTTTTAAATCCTTGGATTCTGCTCCCTGGAGGTAGAGCATCTGAGAAGTGAAAGTAAGATCCTACACAAATGTCTACTTTGAACTCATCAATATTACTTTTATTGGATGCTGGAAAATAAAGGGAAGCAAAAAGTCAAGTGGGGAGGGAAACACTACATTCCAGCTTTTAAGCTGCCAAGAGACAGTGGCTAGAACATAGAGATGATACACTTTTGCTCTTATTATTGTTTTAAGTGTCACTTTTCTGCCTTGAAAAAACATAATACAATTAAAATTCACTATTAGGCAACACAGATCCAGAAGATTATTGATAGAAACTGAAACCTTTCAAACCCACAAAGTGATTTCTTTGCATTCTCCCCAAATTATCTTCTGTGTCAGTAAAACTGGTGAAAAGTTAAGAGAGCACAACTTTTTGATGATTACAAGGTATTCCTGTTTAATATGCCTCTTTTCCTGACAAATTAGTTATTCCAATTTTCTATCATTGTGAATCTTACAACATGGATTTCTATGTAGCTTGAGGGGTATCAAATTACATGAAGATTAAATTAGAAGCCATTTAAATATTACCAAGAAATAGGACGGATAAACTCACACATTCCATATTTGGCTATAGGCAACTGTATGAAGTTGAAATGTGACTTATATCAAATTTTAGTAATCGGACATCATATGTCTAAGGGACCTGCAACTATGACATGGTTCTTATATATTTCCAGTGGCACTGTGCTCAACACAGGTTGACTACTCTCTAACTAGAGAAATCTACATCTTAAAAATGTTTGTCTAGCATTTCCACCCTTACACAACCAACAGAAATGAAAATGTGTGCCCAGTCAAAACGTGTGTGTTTGTGTGTGCGTGTGCTCAGAGTAGCGTTATTCAGAAAAGCCCAAAGTGGAAAGATTCAAACCGAGACCCTCAACTGATGAGTGGTTAGAAAAAAATGTTCTAAAATTGATTGTGGTAATGATCACACAACTCTGTGAATACACTTAAAATAAAAAACCAACCCACTGAATTATACTTCAATGAGAGCAATGTGATTATGCACTTCCTTGTCACACAAAGATTTAAAATTTAGTGAAGCAGTTCAAACAACAATAATAACAACAAGTCTCCAAAGGCTACTTAAAAACTCATGGGAAAAAGAGGGTCAATCCCTACAGACCTGTAGCAGGCCACCTCTTAAATCGATGGATATTTTGGGTATGGATTGCTCCAGGTCTGGATTGCCACTATGTTTGCACCACTTAGCTTCCAGATGGGCAGTAGTAGCAAATGGTCCTATCAGAATCCGACTTCTTTCTTTGAGACTTGTTTTAAGGAGCAAATCATTTATGCTGAGGTCAAATGATGATCCAAGAATTATGCCTGAAAAAAAATGGAGGGGTATATATCATAATTCTTCCTTGACACACACACAGGAAAAAAGTTTGGGAAAGGACTAGCTGTATTTTTAAGGTATGTCAGTTTACCATTTTCCAGAGTCATTTCATTTGGCTTTCCACCACAGCTTCATGCCATTATTACAGAATTCTAGTTATGAACCAGGTATACTTCATTCACATTCCTAGCAAAGCGATATTTGCCAAAACATTATGACTTTTTCCATGTGTGAGCATTTTAAGTTTTATGAGTGGAGACGTTTTCAATAAATTGTGAAAGTTTTTCAAACAACTACATTAAGAATAAGAACAGCTGCTTCATTTGTCTATTATTAACATGATGTGAAAGGGCAATTTTCTGTGATTTCTTACAGCAACAGAGTACAGTATATTACTTTGCTAGACACTCAAGTTTTGGACTGGCCCATGTTAAAATTCAAAACAATCAAAATATGTAACATGTGTTTTCTAAAAAACTTAGCTTAATCCAAACTTCACACATCATAACCACTTGAAGTTTACAAAGTCTTAAAAACAGATAGTGGCAGGTTAGATTTATGAGAAAAACTGTATGTTATAGTTCAAAGTAAATATACCCAGAAAAGGAATACACTTTAAAATGTAGGTTTCCTTTTGAACTTAAAGTAGGAGTGCTGATCAAAACCTTTTCATAAAACCAAGGGCACACTTTAAGATATTTAGATGCAAAGTTAAAGTGGTGAGTTCACTTTCCTCCCAAGAAACTCATATTCTAAATTGTCATTGTGAATATTGAATTTCACCAGACCACATTTGTAATGCTCAGGGCTTATTTTTCCAATGCTATTTGATCCTGCAAAAAGATGAAAGATTAAAAAACACCTTAGGCCCACAGTATACACATGTTTTAAAGTACAGTGCCCATACTGACTTTTCAATTCTGTGGAGATTTGAAAAGTTCATGTTGTATGTTCTTACTGTGGAAATAAGAGACACAACTTTACATCATCTAGAGAAGGCATCCCATCCATAAAAGTGTTAGTGCTAAGACTTTTACTAAAAAAAATTATCAATTTCTTAAATCTTTTCATAAAACCTGTGCCATTCAAACTTCTACTTTTTAAATGTAATTATTTTGACTTGAAGCTACATGCCACTTAGACTAAAGAAGAAAAAATACCTAAAAATAAAAACCTGGAAATAGGCTCAAAACTCCTAAAAAACTGAAGTTGTTACAACATCTTGACAATTGCCTTACATCTCAGCTTCTCAACAGTAAATACCAGCCAAGCAAAACACAACACCAAGTCATTATCCAGATACCAGTACAATGTGATTAGAAAAGTATAGGCATAATTCAGTACAGTCAGATACAAAATGAGCATTAAGAGAATGTCATCCATAATTCTCAAATATAGCATCTTCATACTACCTTATGCTGACATACATATTCATTTGGTGGGAACTTTAAGGTGAACATCATGAACATCCAACTGGTCCCTAATGCACAGTGCTAACACCAAAGGTTTCTTAAGTTGCTTCTCAAATATATTTAAGTTGTCATTATTCTTCAGGAACCCAGATTGGAAATGTTTGATCCCTTTTTGAAAGCTCTTACTACTTTGAATAAGTTTCTATGACAGCAATTTCTATTTCATTCTTTCCAATTGTATTCTCTTGGACTACATTATTTTAAGTCAGCAAATAAAAGAGGCCACCATATTCTAAGTCACTGAAGGGCATTTTACATCACTGTCCATCCAGCTCTAGTAGCTGGGCATCCTATAACAAGAATAATCTTATTCAGAGAAGAACTGACAGCAGCAGCTGCTTAGGACCCATTCCAATAAACTGAACTGAAAGCTTAGAATGTGGTCCTAGTTTCAGCTCCCTCAAAGTTTTCTAACTTGCCAGGTAAGAAGTAAAAGTGCTTAAATCTTTGACATTCTTCATTTTACATCACTAGAAGAAAAGAATGCTGGATGGAAGAGACCTTAGAAACAATTTCCTCCAGATCCTTATTCTTAAACAAAAATACAACAAAATTTTTAAGTTCGGGTCTACATAAAATGTTGCAAAAATACTGACTTTCAATATGCCCTAACTAAAGCACAAATACTGAAATCAGGAAATTCACATATACATTACTATTAAGCAGCCTACCTTATTTAAATTAAATTTTGCCTCTTCTCCCATGAATGTCCTTTTCCTGGTCTATAGCCCAAGCTAGACTAACAATGAATTTAGGTGTCAAAACTTTCTTAATCTGTGACAAATCTAGTTTCCTGTCTTCTGTGACCCTGGAGTATGGATGGTCCAGGCAGAATCTTCTGCAGTACATCTGATCTTGGCTATGAATTGTCCAGGCAGATTCTTCCGCAGTACATCTGCCAATTTTTATCTGTTGCTTCCCCATGGTTATCCGTAGGATATAACCAAAGAAAGGATGCTCTTGGTGTATCACAAAGGGTATAATGTCCTGCTGTTTCATTGCTGAGAATATTACTTCTGAGGGCTAAAGCATTGTCAGATTTGCCATTCACTATAAAGTTACCATTTTGTCCTTTGTAAATAATACCTTGGGGGAAGATTCTTGGATATTAAGCAAATATCCTCTTTTTCATCAAAATTCCATCCAGCAACGTTAACATTTACCAATGGCCCTCCTCTGTAATGATTATTACTCTGATGTATGATAATGGTGGCTTCCTATTTCCATTTTTTACAGTTGTATTTGTTAGTATGGAATTCTTAGGGGTCATAATCTAAAACTATCCTCACTTACTTTGTTGCCTAAATTGAACCAAGTTTGGCCACTGGACACTAAACCCTTAAGTTGGTTCCTCTGATATATCCCTATTATTTCAGAGGGAACTTCTTTACTTTCTGGCTGTAAGGTATTTTTCTCATTTTCCCTCTGGCATCAGCCATTTCCCCATGGAGACTTGGCTGTTGAAGTTTGGTATCCAGAAGCCAAAATCTGGATGGTAGGTGTGCCCATTGCTAATGGAGTCTCACACATTTATATTTATTTCTGAATGCAACCCTCAGTAAATATATTAAAATCATGAATTAATACTAGTATTTCTGGCTCTAATTCAACATTGCTGGGTAGCTTCTGGCCATTTCCCTTTATTTTTAGCTTCCTCTGCTGAACATAAAAATCTAAAAATATGTAGCATGCTCCCAGTCTAACACCAATCATCAAATTCTGCTGTCACCAGAATACAGCAGTAGATATCTGGGTCAATGTCTGCCTCTGCTCAAGGTTTCTGTATCTCAGGGCACTGTTACCTCCCTCAGTGCTTGCCTGACCATTGTCTAGACCATTTATTTTTTGCAGATGTATGTGGGTGTCCATGTGTGTACTTGCATGTGGAGGTCAGAGATCAATCTTGGGTGTTACTTTTTAAAGATGGCAGCCCAATTTTGGTTTCTGAGACAGTATCTCTCAGTGGGACCTGGGGGTTCCCCAATTTGGCTATGCTGGCTGGCTACTAAGCCCCAAGAAACCCCTGTCTCCATTTCCTTAGTACTAGGATTACAAGTGTGCACCACCACACCAACTTTTATTGGGTACCAGGGACTGAACTTGGCTCCTTATGCTTTCAGAGCAAGTACTTGAAGGACTGAGCTACTTCTCCATACCCTAATATATATCTTCTAGTAGTCAGATTTTGAAAGGCAAGTCTCAGTCTGCCCTCAGTTCACTATACAGCCCCTCCCAACCCATCTCCTATTTCAGTGAACTTCTTTGCTTTCATGGCCTTAATGGTAATTGGTACCTCTTCTGACAGAGTATCCATCCATATAGCCAGGCCCAAACTCTCAACAAGTGCTACTCCTAAGCTGCTCTTTAGAAGGACTTTGGACAGTATTGAACCAACACTGATTATCTACCATACACGCAGTACGCTGAGATAAAGTAAATAATTTAGAATTTTCTTTCACATCAGATTCTTTCAAGTTCTCAGATCTCAATAAATACAAAGGGAAAAAGAGAATCAACAACATTTATATGACGACTGTTGAGCACATTGATCTGCTGAAGAACACAAACACTTCCCTGATAGCTTCTAAACTATCACTTTAGGTGTTTTAAAAATTCACTTTATGTTCTATCAATTCTTTTATTCTAATTAAAGATTTAATGGAGTTCCCAGTCATCTATTTTTCTTTCTCGTTCTCTTTCATTCCTCCCCAGTAACTTCCCTCACTTCTACTCTTGTTTTTTCTAATCGTTTGTTTACACCTGCCTGTATCTGAGATATATCAGCACTGACCACTGGCTTATTTAAACATATTAATGGCATTTGAGTATTTAGCATGACCATGTTGACAGTAAGAACATAGAAAGAGGCACTGCCTAAAGACATCAGGAAAACACATGAGTTCTAAATGTCTGCCTGCCTGGTCCTTTTCATCCCGCTTCTGCTCTTTGTTGTGCACCTACAAGAACATTAGGCATGGTCCACTTCTGAAACTTAGAGGGCTAATTTAACTCATCCCCACGTGTCTTCCGTGCCTGCCACAGTTACTATATACATCAAGTCATTGTGACTGTGCTCCTCAGTAAGGGAGCTGATTAACTGTGACATCACAAACAGGTTTACCCACAGCCCATTTTATAACAGCATAGTCCCTGCTACGTTTTTAGAAAGTTGCAATATAGTGACAGGAAAACACATTAATTCAAAATGGTTTTAATCTTAGTGTAAGTAACTAGTAATAATGTGATCCATCTTTTAAAAATTGTTTTTATATATTTATTTTATGTGTGTGAGTGGTTTGCCTGTATGAACTTAAGTGCACTTGTACATGCAATGCCTGTGGAGGCCAGAAGAGGGCATCAGATCCCCTGGAACTAGAGTTAAGGACAGTTGTTAGTTACTATGTGGGTTCTGGGACCAAACTTGGGTCCTCTGCAAGAGCAGCCAGAGCTCTTAACTACTGAGACATCTCTTCATTCCCCTGTGGTAATTTCTTAATTACAAAAAATACTGATGA